GTAGAAGTAGTTAAGTGTTTACATGATTTAAAGTATATAAAAGTTTATAGCAAAACTAACACGTTACTAAAACTATTTATTTTTCTATTTTTTATTATTATATTAGAAAACTATGAAAAATAAATACTCAGGATATGTTTAGTTTTAGAAATATTTATTTATCTTACTTTTAATTATAAGATTGTCACTTTATTTTTATACTTTTTCTTGTTTCAAAAGGTTTATACATAAAACAAGGTAAAAGGATATTTTTCTCACATGGTTGAAAATATAAAGTAAAGAGAATAAAAATGACAACTTGTAATTATAAATAGATAAGTTGAAAATATAAAGTATAGAAAATAAATTGACAACTTGTAATTTTAAATTGATATGAAAACATAATCCATGTATCTATTTTAATATTGGCGGAAAATTCACGTTTTGATTGGACATGGTGTAAATTTGAAGTTTCTCATATATTCGAAATCGAATATAATGATGCATGAAGATTTTAAATATCGTCTCACATTTTTTTTAAATTCGTCGTGTGTAAAAGTGGGTTTAAATTTCAACTCAGAAAAAAAAAACTATGTGAGACAGAGATAAAGTGTTTTTTAAAGATAAACCAGTAAGATATTTGTGCTCATATACTGGTAAAATTATTTGATAACAAAATATATGTAAATGTACATATGACTTTGAAACGTTATAAAATATATTTATATATGTATTTAAATTTGAAATTAACTATTAATTATAAAATGTACAATAATTATATAAATTTAATTGTATTGAAATACAAATAGAAAAAAAAAGGACCCGTGAGAAAAAAATTGATGATAAGGATTTTATCTTTTAAATTAAGATGATTATTGATTAAAATAAAATATGTATTGTGTTTATAGTGCCCGTGAAATAGAAAGTTTATTTGATACAATATAAAATATATTTATATACAGATGTAAATTTGAAATGAGTCATTTAATTGTAAATTGAAAAATAATTATACAATCTCAATTGAATTAAATAATCATGCAAAAATAATAAAAAAATAAATTGTGAGATGAAGAAAGACAAAAAAAGAAAATTTTAATACAATAATGACCCGTGAGATAAAAAAATATTTGGTGGGATATAAAAATGTATTTAAATACAAATTCAAAATTTAAAATGATATACTTAATTGTAAAATGAACAATAATCATATAAATTAAGTTGTATTAAATAATTATATATATATAAAAAAAAAAGGAATCATAAGATGGAGAAAGAAAATAAAAATAAAAATAAGATAATGATTGATTAAAATAAAATAGATATTACGTTAATAGTGACCCGTGAGATAAATACTTTTTTAATTTTATTAAAATTAAAAAATAAATTATTAGTATTTTTAGTAATAATAAATAAATAGAAAAAAATTAAAATAAAAGTGAGAAAGTGTGAGAAAAAATGTAAAAGAGATTTGAAATTTAAATGAAGAGAGAGAATGTGTGTATGTAATATTAAATTGTGATTTAATTGATGGAAGTTGATAAATGAATGTCACTTGTCATAATGTAATAGAAAATGAGAATGAAAAAAGTAAACATTAGTTGATTACTAAAATACCCTTTTGTTGGTGTAAATAATTTGTGGTGAAAGGACAATTTTGGAAGTTTATGCAATTGAATTGTAATAGATAGATAGTAGATGTATATATACATAATCAACATAAAATACAAGTAAAGACAAACAGCTACAAAACCCAAAGCACCAAAGAAGGAGGTCATATTCCACAAATAATCAGAAAGAAAAACAGATAAATCATAATCTAGACAAAATTAGATCTCTCTAATCCAAGAATCCATGTAACTGCAACGAATCCACACAAAAAAACGAGAAGAACACATTAAAGGGAGACCGGAGTCACTCATATTACTATTAGTTCAAAAACGGGATATGGTTCTGAAACAATGCGGAAAAGGCACAAGAGTTATTCTCATACTTGCCAAGATATCATTTTCAAGCCAAAATGATGTTCATTTCTTCCATGTCTTTTGGTGTCATCGATGAACCGAAAAAAACTATGTCATTATAAATTTCATAAATCGACCAAACCACGACATGCCAAATCATCTTCAACCCCTCTCTAGCTCTAGAACCACAACTCGAAAGAATAAACATCTAGAAAAAAGGGTCAAAGTATCTATAGGAAAAACATCACACCATCTCAACCACCTAAAAATCCTTTACCAAACAAAGGATTCAACCTCACATGTCACAAAGAGATGAGATGACGACTCAATGAGAAACAAACGTAAGGGACAAGAATTAGTCCCAGAGGACAAAAGAACTCTCATCTTTAGTAAGTTATCTCTAGTAGAGACACGATCTTGAAGAAGTTACAAAGAGAAAACTATAACTTTATAAGAGGGTCTGCTACACCAAATAGATTAAAGGACTAACTCTGGGGCGACACCTGACGACCCGAGGGAAACTCTCGGGCCAAAATACAGGAGTAGGTAGAAAACACAGAATAAGCATTATCACTCGACTCACTCTACCTTCACACATCACTCTCAAAAGAAGGGGTCAAATCTCTAATCACGAACTGAATATCACTACAAAGAGCCAACTCGTAATTAAAGAGAAAAGGTATCCACCACTTGAGGTCCTAGATTCACCTTTCCCCCCTCCCATATGCCAACTTCCCCTACATATTTAGAGGCATAGTCAGAACTCATAGAAAGTCTATGGAATCTAAGATGAATGGGAGTATTCCAAACCCAAACATCCTCCCTGAAGGAGGTAAGGAGACTCAAAATCAACTTTCAAGGAGAGGTCATCCATGAATCAATCAGAAGTGTCATCAGCTTTAACACCTAGAAGGAAACTACCTCTCCACCAAGGCGAGGTCAATCGAAGACAATCGACTATGCCTAATTCTAGAAGCCCCTAAAAGTAAGCGCCAACTTCATTACTCTAAAGGTTCAAGTTGACCAACCAAAGTCACGAACACCAATGTTGTAGGCTTCTTAAGCTTGCAAATATCCACCCATTTGACCTAAGCAATCTTAGACTTCTCTTTCACTCATCCTCAAAGAAACCTCTTCTAGATCTTCATGATCTTCTTCCAAACCCTGATAAGCATCTTCAAAATAGATAAGAAAAAGATATGAATGACATTAAGAACATAGTTAAGAAGGATCACTCTTCCTCCTAGGTAGACATACTTATGTTTCCACGAAAGGATCCTTCTAGATAAGAGATTAACTAGAGGTTGGCATATAGACGCTAGGCAGAAGTTAGCTATGACTGAGAGTCCAAGGTACTTAAAAGGAATTGACTCCTTCTCACATTGGAGAAACTCACAGGCAAGGTCTAAGAAAGTCTGATCGGAATTCACCCCAATGAGAGAGCTTTGAGAAAAATTCACACAAATGCTTAAGGCGAGCTCAAACCCACGAAGAATATCCTTGATAGTTCAAAGAATATCTATAGTAGCATCGTCCAGAATAACCAGGTCGTCTGCATACTAAAGATGGGGTACCACCAAGTCCGAGGATCCCACTCTAATAATTGATAAAAGACGCATCTCTACAGCCCTAGAAATCAAACCGCTTAAGCCTTCGGCTACCAGGAGAAAGACGAAGGGAGCTTCAGAGTCTCCTTGCTTCAACCCCCTTTGGATACTTATCTCTTGGGTCAAACAACTACTAACTAAGACTGCAAGATTTCCAGAAAACACACGAGCACTAATCCTCTTATCATTAAACCCAAATTTGGAGAGCATATAGTCAAGAAAAGATCAGCTAATAGAGTCAAAAGCTTTCTCAAAATCAAATTTGAAAAGAATGCCAAATTTCTTACTTCTCTTAACTAGATCAACAAGCTCGTTCATAACAACCACCCCATCCACTAAGAGTTTACCTTTAAGGAAGGTTCGCTGTTTAGAGGAGACGAGTTTATCTATAACACCAGAGAGCCTAGAGACCAAGAACTTAGCAAGGATCTTATAAAAAGATCTGACCAAAGAAATTAGTATAAAATCTCCTAAATGAGAAGAGGAGTCAACTTTTGGGATCAAGGTAATAGAGAAGGAGGAAAACCACAGTGAGAGTAGAAAATTGATGAAAATGATTAAACATCACTCATATGTCATCTTTGAAGAAAGGTCAAAACCTCTAGAAGAAGGAGAAATTGAAATCATCCGAATCAGAACTCGTATTGCTATCACAAAAAACAATTGTACGATCAATCTATGCTAAAAGAAAAGGCGCAATAAAACTAGCATTATTCTCCTCTAAGTGATAATCTTTGCCTTAAAAATATAAGAATGAATTTTAATATGTGATCCGAGTCTATCCAACATATTTTCGAATATTTTTTGTCGGATTAGAATTTAGATTGATTGTTTTTTTTAGTTTTTGTGACTTTGTCTTTATTTGTCAGACCATATGTCATATAAATAACTTATTTAAATAATTCATACATCTTTTCTTTACACTAAAATTTTAAAAGTCATTAAATTGTAAAGTCGCCTAATCCTTTATAAGGCAGTATCCGCAAGAATCCTTGAATATGGATGCAAATTGATTGCTTTAGTTATAATAATTTCATTAGGGACACTAAGGAAAACAAATAGTAAAAAAACTTGAAAAGGGGATAAAGCATGAAAAAGTCAAAACCCAATTAAGTTACATTACATTGATTAATAGAATGAAGATTTTGCATGTTAGCATTCAACACTTTGTTTTTCTAGACAAACACCTTTTTATTTTTCTTCTTTACTAATTAGGGACAATCTTGTTTGATTAAATGCCTAAACAAATTTGACAACTTGTCAATCATTCTAGTAACATGGCCCCACAATACATATATAGAGTGTGACATTGGATTTTGTATACTATTATGGCAAGGTGGGACCTATCTACTTTCTTGTCATTGTACCATAAGGTAATTAAGGTCTCTATTTATAAATGAAGTTCTCAAAAACTCATATATGCTAAATTGTGTCAAAAGAGTGTTTTAGAGAGATGGGCCATCGTTGTTGCAGCAAGCAGAAGATCAAAAGAGGATTATGGTCTCCTGAAGAAGATGATAAGCTTGTTACATATATCACAACTCATGGACATAAAAGTTGGAGTTCTGTCCCAAAGTTTGCAGGCATTATTTCTCTCCTTCTATAGTACTCGTATATTTTTGTGTTTATATTTCGTAATCGGTGAAAAGATTGAGCAAGAGCGTGTGGCTTGCAGCATTATGACTTTTGATATTATTTTGAAATATAAAGAATCATAATGCGGCTGCCTTTTAATATTTTGTGTTTGATTTTGTAGGCCTACAAAGGTGTGGAAAGAGTTGTAGATTAAGATGGACAAACTATTTGAGGCCGGATCTCAAAAGAGGTTCCTTCACCGCCGAAGAAGAACATATCATAATTGATATACATAGAATTCTCGGAAACAGGTAAAGAGAAATAATTGTATTTCATATCTTTGTTGATCTTTACCTAACAGTATAAACTCTCTATGCCGTTTTTAAGAGTGTGTAAGACAGATTATCGCACAAAATTTAAAATTTATCGTGAATAAATAAATGTTTGTCATAGTTAAACCCTAATTAAATAGGGTGTTTAATTTGTTTTGTCGTGAAAAAACTATGATAGAATCTGCAAAAATTTAAGACGGCACTGTGATATTTGCAACTATTTATGGAAGGTTGGGAGAGTTCATCTCCATGATGCATGCATTATTTGTGTGATGCAGGTGGGCACAAATAGCAAAGCACCTTCCTGGTAGAACAGACAATGAAGTGAAGAATTTTTGGAACTCATGCATTAAAAAGAAGCTGATTTCACAAGGCTTAGATCCACAAACTCACAATTTACTTTCTTCTCATAAAAGAAACAACTCATCCTATCAAAACTCCAATTCCATTTTCATTCTTACTTCACAAATGCCACCAAATGCTACTTATCTCATTGAAACAACAAACCAAACCTTTTCACCACCAAGTATTATTCAAACTCCTACAATTGTTTCCCCTAACCAATATCAAACATCTTTCAATGTAATTTCAAATCAACTACGTGTCCCCGAGCAAAAACAAGCTCGAATAGGACCCGAAAACATACCAAACATTTGTTCTTCGTCCTTCTTAGACACTACCGATGTCGAAATGTCTAGGAAAGAAGAAGGAACACATGCTCAAGTGGAGGAAGAGAAGGAGAAGATGTATGAGAAAGGAATGGATTTTGATGAAGTTATTGAGAAGGGAGATATTGAAATGAATAATTGTTTTGAGAACTCAAAGTTTGATTTTGGGTTGTTGGAGAGTGTACTTAACTCGGAATTTATATCTCATGATCTAGACTATATGGATGATTTTGCATGGAACTTTTAAACCATGCTCTAATAATTTTGATATCCATCGTTTATGTATATATTATTAGTGAGTTTTCTACATAAAAGACCACAAAAAATTCAGAAAGAGCTTCCACACTCTTTAGCAATTCTGTGTTTGTAACAATAATAACTTCTAGAATTCATCTCAAATCAAAGGATGCTTTTTTTCTTACATCGTTTATGAATATATAAAAGTATTTTGAATACTATATTCAAAACTCTAATATTTTTTAAATAAAAAAAATTGAATTATATAGTATAATTTATTGATTCATATTATCTTAACTTGTGAGTATGATTATAATTTTAAATATTAATATTTAAAATACCTTAAGTAATATTTTGCATTATAGGTCTTTTGGGCTAAATATAATATAATTTTATTTTTCTATTGTTTACAGCAATTGATTCATTGTTTTCATTACTAGTACATCTTTTTAGCCACACTAACTTTGTTTTTTTAAACCAAAAGAAATCTAATGAAAAGGAAGGAGTCAAGCCAAATCCTCTTAAAAGTTGGCGAATCTAAAGCTAAGTAAGGCAAGCCTATTTATAGTAAAATTAGAGAAAATGGAGTAGGCATGTCTTCCCTAAAAATCATAATTTACCTTTTCTAAAGATGTGGAAATTAATATTACTAATAAGATGTTGGTTAGCACTGAAGTAGAATCAGTTTCTATCCATAAATTATTCCAGATAGCTTGAGCAATTATCTCAATAGCAAAGACCAACAAAAAAATCTGCATGATGGTTTTGAAAACTACCTCCACAGGATGCAGTAATTTAATTGGAAGCACCATTGGTGTTACATTTGGTTAAAACTATAGATTGGGAGCTGCCAAATCACTTCTCTAATTAAAGGTGTTTTAGGAGGATGTATGTGGTTCTATGTGTTATGTATGTAATGTCGACAAATGGATTTGATGATGACAACTATTAAATAGTTGTATTGATGGATACACTCAAATGGTTTTGATCACAAAAACTCTTTTAAAAGTTACTTGATTATGGCATCTAAACAACGAAAATATATCACAAGCCTCATCAATCAAATGTGTCAAGTTCTAATTTAAGGTGTTAGACAAAGTTCCATGAACTTATAAAGTCTTAAAGTTAAAAATGTGAAAGAGTGAAAGTTTGTCTGGTCCCGCGCTTAGTGTTTTACCTAATTTTTATCGGTTAATTCTAAGAGAAACGATAGTAAGTTTTGAGGTACTAATCTATTAAGAGGTTATTCTAATTGATTAAATCAAAGTGTAATGCCTCGTAAATGATTAAGGAGATGAGTAATCAATTAAGTTACGTCAGAATTCAATCTCTTCTATTTTAGATTGGTTAATTGATGACACTATATCATCATGTAATTTTATCAAGCATTTGCATGTATATATTTTTTTAAAGGTTTTTAGTACTTTATGTTTGAGTTTTATGAAGAAATGGAAAAAAAGTGAAGAAGTTAAAGAAAGTAAGCAAGCCTTAGAAAATGTTGAAAAATGTGAAGAAAAGAGCAATTCATTATAGGAAAAATCGTGTCCAGATCTTGGCACAAATTGTTGCAAAAAGATAAGATCGCACCATGATATAAAGGAATTGTGACACAATCCAACTGTCACAAAGAACATCATCACATGGTCTAAAGTGATCCTGACACAATTTAACTAGAATCCTGACACGTTTGGACTTCTATAAAAGGGAAAAACACAGATTTTGACGAGGATATTCTCTTTTGGCAAAGGAATTTGATAGCAAAAATAAAGTTTGAAGTTGCGGAACAAGGGTTTTCATCATCAGAAGTCAACTTTTTATCAGAATTTCATATTTTGTTCTTTTACTTATCTTGCTATGAATTCTTTAAGAATGAGTAACTAAATTTTTATTTAATAGGGTTTGTTGGTCGAACCTGTATGAATCTATTGGGACATATATTTGAGTTTTGTATCATTTACATAATTTCATTATTCCATATTTGTTATTTTCACTGTTTTGTATGTGTTGTCGAAAACATATATCGAGCCTAGAAATGTAGGGATTACTGACCCTAACTTTATGATTAGGAAATAGATTAACCGTTCAACTTAATAATTGATTAGGAATAAAAAAATATATTTTGTGACTTGAGGCTTAACGCTCTAAATTGTCCGTTTTAACTTCGAACAAACCCAATGGAATATGAAGTTGTAGTGTAGAATAATGAGTTGTAAAAGGAATTGCGTATGACAGATTAGTAAAATCGTCACAATTTTTTATTAATCAACTTGAGACAAATAGATGCCGACATCAACAAAGCCATACAGGGGATTCAAAACAAAGACTAATCACCTTTTATTTGATCACTTAATCAAAATTTTATTTGCGTCTTTTATATCAAATCAAACTTTGAAAATCCTCCAATTTAATTATTATATTACTTCAACTGTTTTGTTAAAGTAAAACAATCCACGTGGATACAAACATTTTATATTACTTACAACGAGATTCACGTGGATACAAACATTTTATATTACTTACAACGAGATTCAGTACACTTGCTAAATATCTATCAAGTTTTTTACGTCGTTGTCAGAGATTATTGAATTACTTCAACAAGGCAATTTTTGTGCAAATTATATATATATATATATATATATATATATATATATATATATATATATATATATATATATATATATATATATTATTTTATTTTATTTTAATTTTATTTTCTAAATTTCTACTCTTATTCAGCTTTTTGTTGATACAATGCTATTAAAGTATTTTTTGACTATTTATTCAAGGTTTAGGCTTGACGCTGATACCATTTGATTCAAAAACTGAGAAGACGACAAGAGCAAATTGAAAAGCACCTAGAGCAGCACACGCAGTCAAAGAGAAGCTAGAAAAAGAGAAAACACGTGTTTCTTTTGATAAAAAAAAGTGATCAAGAGAAACAAGACATGGAGATTCCACCACGACATACAATGAGAGACTATTACAGGAGAACTGATGTTGGACAAATTTCTTTAGGATTTCAACTTACTAATCCTATTAATTTTCACATTAAGAACTTTATGCTTTCAAGTTTTAGAGATAACTTGTTTAATGGACAAGTTATTAGAGACATGTGGGAGCATATGACTCGCTTTTATGAGACAAGTTTGATGTGTAAGCCGAAGGGGCTGACTGATGATAAAATTAAATTGAGGCTGTTTGAATTTTCTTTAATCGAAAGGGCTAAAGATTGATTTTAATGTTTACCAAGTGTGACCATTCAAACATGGAAGGAGTTGGAAGACAAATTTTTGGAGAGGTTTTTCAGCATTACCAGTTGTGGAAATAAGGGATGAGATTTTGAAATTTGAACAAGGTGATGCTAAATCCTTATCTGATGCTTGGAAGATATTCAAATTGTTACTCAGAAGGTGTCCAAATCACAATACGAGCAGTATGGAACATATGCAATACTTTACAAGAGGTCTTAAAGTTCAAGCAAGAATGCTTCTAGATGGCTTAGCTGGAAAGGGGTGGCAAAATGGGTCTGGTCCATTTGGCATATGTCTGTTTTGACTACAATTTAGTGTGGGGCGGGGAAATGGTTTAGGCATGCCCTTTTTTACTACAATTTAGTGTGGGGCGGGGCAATGGTTTAGGCCCGCACTCTATCATGTGTCCGGCCACCCCGCCTTGTTTTTTTGACTTTTGCAAGCATAGACATTAACATAAATTTTATATTTTTAGTGCATGGCGTATAGCACCTCAATTTTTTGTGTTTATATTTTTTAATTAATTATATTTGATTATTGGTGTATTTGGTGTATTTAAAGGTTTAGGGGGATTTTAGGTAAATTGTGAGAATTAATTAGAATTATAGTTAGTTTAAAGTAATTAAAATAATGAGAAATATAGGAATATTAAGATTTTGGGTGGAAATAGAACTAATAGAAATGTAGTGTTAAATGGTGAGAGAATAAGATTAAATTAGACAATAGAGTAATAATTAAAAGTGTTAAGTTAAGTTAAAATAAATTATTAGATTAATAAAGACTATGAGTTTTTTTATAGTACGTGAACTAGGGTTTTGAGAGAAAGAGCTTTTGGAGAAAAGAGGCAATCAAGGGTTTGAGTGAGAAGGAGATTTTATAGCCTAGAAGACTGTTTGCTTTGCTATAAAGTTAAGGTAAAGGATAAATAATCTAATTATGAGTGTTAAATGCATGAAGGATAGAGAGGAATCCTTACCCTCCTATAGATTTTTCATCTTTTTCAACCACTGTTGAGGGTTATGTGTTCTTGATTGGAATTTAAGAAAAGTATGTTATAAATAGTCTAAAATGCATGAAGTTCGTATGCTATTTATGCTAGACTTTGTATATGATGTGATTTAATGCATTCTGAATGTTGTTGTGGTTATCAATGCGTTGTTGGTTTTATGAACATACCCTTAATTCTATGTTTTAATGCTGATTATTTTATGTTGGGTCTATATAACTTGAGTATGTTATTGTATAACTGCTATATAATTATTGTGTGTCGAATTCTGAGTGTTTTACTTTTTACTAAATCAAAATCGGAGGCCCAAAAGGTCTCCAATGGTCAAAAAAACCCAAAATTCTACATTCTGCAGCAGTGATGGTCGTCACCATTATGAGGGGTTGCCCATCAGTGCGTACACCGGTCTGACGATCGTCAACTTTGTGACAGTCCACCCGTCACGACCAGGTTGACTTTGTTCATTATGGTTTTATCATAAATTGAGTTTCGTGAATCCATTTGAGGCACATTTTGAAGCGCCAGAAAGTTAACGCGTAACAATATCTTACGGTGATTCCCTAAGAGACTAAATATGCATTTAAGGTCATGAATAAATTATTTTTCTTAAGGTGCAAATTATGTGACAATTAATGATGATGAAATAACTTTTAATTGTTGTGATTTATTGAATTGATGAATACCTCATGAAGAGTGATGTTAATGTTGATGTTGATATATGAATGATTGTTGAGACTTGCACGTATAATCATG